AGCCCAGTCCTTAGTGGTGCTAACGGTTAATTATTTGACTACTAGCCAAGAGGTCAGTGGTTCAAACCCACCCAGTGGAGGCTCAGCAGACCGGCTGTGTCTGAAAGGTCACAGCTTCGAACCCTTGGAGCACAGTTCTACTCTGCTCTGGTGATCATGAGTCAGAATCAAGTTGACAACTAACAACAGCAACACTGAGCCAGGAGAATGTCTCCACAGTGCTATCCAGCCCTGCAGTGTGGTGAGAAGTAGACACTGATCAATTCACTGACAAAGGCTTCCTGTATCCCTCGGAACATCAAAAAATTTGAATTTTTATTGAGAGCATTCTGGAAAGCTTGCTCAGAATTAGGGGAAAAGTCCTTGGCCATTGGCCAATTCCTTACATGCTTTACAAAAGACACCGATTCTCCCAGACTTGCTGTGACTTGCCCAAGTTCCTTGCAGAGCTGGTCCTCAAACCCAGGACCCTTAAGCCAGTGCCCCTTGCCCTGTTACAGACTGTCCCTTGGTCAAATTGAGTTCACCTTGTGTCCCTGGGCCTTGTGTGTGACTGGGGGCTACAGTCCCACTGCCAGAGTGTAGAGTCTACTGCCTTAATGGGGGATGGCCAAATAGTCACATAAGTCATTAAAATCCACCCCCTGCTTTGAAGGAGGCAATAAGAGGATATGATAGGGGGTTGTCCGTGTCTGAGAAAGTGGTGATGAAAATGAGGTCCAAACAGGACTTAGCAGTGCTGGCTGGGCTGAGGACAGACCACAGGAGCATGACAGACCTAGGAACGGGAAACATCAATGTGGCTAGAGCTCAGGGGGCCCTTATGCCTTTGCCATTGTGTTCAGCCAATGATGAAACCAGCGGGAAGACGTGTGCTCTTCCGATCGAGCTCAGGGGGCCCTTATGCCTTTGCCATTGTGTTCAGCCAATGATGAAACCAGCGGGAACCCACATCTGTCGTCTCCTGAGGGTGTTGTGAAAATTAAACAAAGCATCGTCTACAAAATGCCTAGCAGGATGCCGGGCCTGAGCAGGTGCCACCCGGGAGAATGTAGCTGTAGCTCATTCATCTGTTCCTTTCACAAGAACCGTGGAGACATGCTCAGATACAAGAATTGGGTGGAAGTGACCTGGGAGATGGAGCAATTGTCCCCTTTCCCGGTAATGGAGGGCCATTAAACAAGAGAAAGCCACACAAAGGTGGCTTCAGGTTGCCTAAACAGACCATTCCCCCACCCCCCAAGCTGCAGAACTGCCCAGGCCTGATCGGATACAGCCCTCCAGTCTATACTCTGCACCCCAACAAACAGCGCTGGACTCAGCTAAATCTATGAAACCCTCTCACAGAGGGAGACATGCCTGGGATGCTTACACCGCCCCTGGTCAGCCAGCACGAGAGCAGTGTTCAGGGCCTGAGGACAGTCCAGCGAGCTATACCCCTGGGTCTACACCATCCTTGATCGTGTGATGTCTTTCCATTTGTGCGGGTGTTCCTTAACTTCTTCCAAAGATACTGTGCCTTGTTTAATGCACCAGTCTTGCACTTCTCTTGTTAAAATTTTCTTAAGTATTGTTTTGATGTTATTGAAAATAGATTTGCTTTCTTAATTGCATTTGAGATTGATCGTTGCTAGTATGTAGTTTAGTGAACTTTTCTGTATATTGATCCTGCGTTGTGCCATCTGGCTGAACTTACTTATTAATTCTAATAGCATTTTAGTGTCAATCTTAGTACTCTCTTTATTTATGCAACATCATCTTCAAACAGAGATTTTTTTTAACTTTTTTATGTTTCAATCTTGACACCTTTTATGTCTTTTCTCGTGCCTTGGCTAGAACTTCCAGCAGAGTGTTAAATAGAAGTGGTTGAGAACAGGTTTTGTTTTGTTCCTGATGTTTGTGTCTTTCGTCACAAATCTGATATGAGCTAGGAGTGTGTGGACAGTGTCCTGAGCCCCAGCGAGGGCAAGGACCTCCATGGAGAAAGTGTCAGTGCGGCTGAGGCCAGAGAAGGTGAGCAGGCGCTACACTTGGCAGGAGGGGTTTGGTCCTTTTCCCAGATGCAGAGAGAAGCTGCTAGAAGGATGAAGGACTCTCAGGTGGCGAGGTTAGGGAGCTGCTAACAGCTGAGCCAGGGGCTCTGGAATAGAAGCTAGTGTCTGAGAGACACAGCAGGCTTAGTCAAAGCTGGAGCGAGGTGAGGGACGCCCAAAGGCTGCCTGAGTAGGGAGGAGTCTGCCATCCTCTCCCTTCCTCACCGAGTCCTGAGGGTTCTGGGGGTTTTGGTGGGATATAGTGCCTAAGTCCTCATGTTCTTTTGGGTTCCAGACACCCCATCAACCTGTGCTAATGATAGCAGTGTTTTCCCCTGGACATAAACTCAGATCACTGTCGCCAAGTAAACTCAACTCATAGCAGTTACATGTGTGTCGGTGAGAACTGACTTTTCAGAAGTAGATGGCCAGTCCTTTCTTCCGAGGTACCTCTGAGTAAACTCAAACCTCCAGCCTTTTGGTCAACATTAAGTATTTGAACCATCCCTGGGCATAATAGGGGTTAAATTTCCATCTACAAGTATTTGGAGAGAATGAACATGCGTGTGTGTGTGTGTGTGTGTGTGTGTGTGTGTGTGTATACACGTGCACAGGACTGCACTACTTCATAGAACTTCCAGCTGGAGACTTTGCTTCCTCCCAGAATGTTCTGATTACACTCCCTACCTCCACCCTCTCCTGTCATTTCCTGTTGCTGGGAAATCAGGAGTCAGATGACTTCTGGTATCCAGGCTAATGGCTCTTATTAACCAAATGCTGACATGTCCCTAACATATAGGTTGCTTAATTAAAAACCAGCTTGCTCGGCCAGCTTTCAAAGAAGAAAGCACTTTGAGCAGGGAATGGGGATTTCCAACAGACATTGGATGAGAAATGATGTCATACTAATGGTCTAGAAAAGCGCTTTTTCTCTTAGATGAAAGAAAAGTGATGGGGGCAGGGAGGAGGGGCGCTGAAAGGAGCAGAGCTTTGGGGATGGCTACCTTCCATGCAGCCGGCCGCCCCACAGCTGTCCTCTCACAATTCCTTCAGCTTGTTGGTCAGCACCTAAGCATCTGCCATCACACAGCCGACTTTGCAAGCTGTGAATAGGAAGCAGGACCTCAACTCCTGTGAGCTTAGCTCAAAGCTGGGTGTGCTTTTTCCTTCCAGAACTCAGGCCCAAGGAAGGACCCTCCCTCTTCCTACTTCCTCCTGCAGGTTTAAACCTGCCTGGCCAGACCTAACAGCCAGCCCACTGTGTGGGCTCACAGCCCAAATCCTCTTAAAAGAAATCAGAAGCTTAAATTTCATTGTTAGTAAATGAATGTATACTTTCCTATGTTTTGTTGCAAAGCAAGGGAGTGGTTGTATTTTTTTCTTTCGTTCTTTTTTTATTTTGTTTTGTTAAATGGATTTAATGAAGATTCTTAGTAAATAATTAAGTAGCCCTGATTAGTGTGGTGGATTTTGAGCTGGGCTACTAACCACAAGGTCAGCAGTTCAAATCTACCTTCAAGTCACTTCATGGGAGAAAGATGAGGCTCTCTGTTCCCATAAAGATTTACAGTTTTGGAAAGCCTGTTTGTATGAATCGGAACTGACTTGATGGCACGCTCCCACCACCACAACCAGTAAATAATTCAGTAAATCGGTTTAAAGAGTTTATTCAGTAGAATTGTGTTATAGTTGCATGACTTTGAGACAATGGATAGATAGTGACTTGAGGTAGCATACTATGTAGAAAAGGAGCCCTGGTGATGCAGTGGGTTAAGCATTGGGCTGCTAATGCAAGGTCACTGGAAAGAGTACATTGAAATCTAGAACGTCTGATTCTAGTTCTGGAGACATTTTTGATGGTCATGACGGTAGGATGCCACTGATGACTAGTGGGTAGAAGCAAAAGATACTGCTAAACACCCTCCAATGCTCAGGGCAGCCCCAACACCAAAGAACAATTCTGCGCACAAAGCTAACAGTGCAAAGGCTGGGAAACTTTGCTCAGAATCTGGTACAAGAAGATTCTAAGCAGAATTTTTTCATGATATTGAAAAATGGATTCAACCCACATGGCCACCCACAGTGACCTGCCTAAGCCAATTGTGACATTCGTACAATGGACTAGTCGAAAGCAACATGGGTACGTCTCATGAATCTTCAGTGGATGATAGAATTTGTATAGTGTGATTCCTTGTGTACAGTTTCTGGAAACAGGCAAACTGTTATACATAGTGTTTAAGAATATTTTCATGTGTGATAAAACTGTAAAGAAAAACAAGAGATCATTAATACAAAAGGTGGGGGAGGGGTGGCTTCTATGGTACTGGCAAAAGTACTAGTTCCAAAGGGGTGGGGGGGAGCATAACTCTTCATTTTATTATTATGTCTGTGTGTGTGTGTGTTCACACACACTGTGTCGACCTTAGTATGAGCATGTGTCTTTTCTACATTGCCTTCCTTGCTGTGGAAGTGACGATAGCAATGGTAGTTATTATGGTTTATTGAACCCTAGTGGCCCAATGATTAAGCACTCATCTACTAGTCAAGAGGGCATTCAAGCCCACCAGCTGCTCCATGGGAGAAAGATGAAAATTTCTGCTCCCACAGAGATTTAAAAGCTTCTGAAGACCATATGCAGGGTCACTGTGAGTCAGCACTAACTCGATGACACTTAACACAAAACAAACACTTTATTAAGAGGTTACAAGTCAGAATTGACACAATGGCAACTAAAAACACTGACTTTTGCAATGGTTTTGTCAGATATTTTTATTAGAGAAAATTTAGGGAGTGAAACCTGGGGTGCTCGCTTCCACGAGTGGAGCTGGAGTTGACCTTGAATGAGTGGGGCTGGCCTCTTCCTGTACTCAGTGCTGCCGCCTTCCATTGGCTGGCCTCTGTTCCTCTACTCAGTGCTGCCGCCTTCCACTGGTTCCCATCTCTCACCCAGCTCCCTTCTCTCCACAGTGTCCGGAGACAAACGACCAGCCGGCCGCCCCCAGCAGGGGGCAGACCCAAGCCCCAGCCCAAGCCTAAGCCTCAGGTGCCACAGTGCAAGGCGCTCTACGCCTATGATGCTCAGGACACAGATGAACTCAGCTTCAATGCCAATGACATTATCGATATTATCAAAGAAGGTAAGCGCATCGCTAGCTGACTGAGACACCCTCCCAAAGAGCACAGTCACTTTGCTATAAAAACTAGTTTAATATGAAGAGAATGAATGAGTTCCTCTAGCTGAAACTTACATGCTCAGCTTTATAAGGACTTGAACTTCATTGTTTTAACGCTTCTATCAGCTTGGCTCTGTTCTTTGTATCGGCTTCCTCTTCATGTTGTTTTACCACATGGTAGCAATGCCAAACCAAAGCCACTGAGCAAGAGTCTTAGCTTTCACGCTGATTGGGCCCCTTTAGGTTACATGTCCATCCTGAACAATCACTGTATCCTGACTGTGTTAGACCTGGCAGTGATTTCCTTGGAAGAGGGGGTGAATCTACCCCACCGAAACTTCAGGCCTCCATACAGTGAACGGGAATGGAATGAAGCCAAGGAAATATCCTACAGTGTTATAAAAGGGCAAGGGGAAATAAAAGGGACTCACAGACTTGGTTGAGTGCTTTTTTAATTTGGAAGAAAAGATAAATTAGAATATAATGAGGTTAATTTCTTTTTTTTTTTTTTTTAATTTCAAACATACGTGCTTATGGAAACAAAACAATAAATCCTGCTTCAGGGTATTAGAAACCGCAGGAGGGAAATGGCATTTGTGGTGAGAGTTGGGGAGAATTAACTCTGAGGTAGATAGTGGGAGGGAGAGAGAATGAGCAAAGTCTAGAAGGAGCAGGTCATTTTAGGAAAACAAGTAGCCACTGGACCAAGGTGTAGAACCCCAGGGAGATGTCATGGAAGGTCAAGCTGAAAATAGCCTGGTCTTGGAGGGCCCTGAATGACAGGCTCAAGAGAGTGTGTGATGATAGCAGAGAGCCATGGAGGTATACACAGAACAAGGGAACCTGGGTGATTCTCTGTTCTGCAGAAAGGTTAGTTTCCACGAAGAGATGGTCAAGTTAACATCCAGGTTATCTCAATCGGTCTTTCTTTGCCTGGAGAGAAGAAGTCAGGGAGAGGAGGAGAAAAGGGAATATGTAACTGGGAACCACTGCCCCTCCATGAGACCAGAAAATCTGGATGGTGCCCCTTTTGATCAAAGATTTTACAGAAGAATCCTGATGGGGGTGTGAGTGTGGAGGAGGATGCAGAACGATTCCAAATTCGGACAGAATTCAGCCTTTCTGGCATCATAGAGGCTGGATGAATCCCCCAAACCACTGCCCTGCAATAATCTTTAAAGCTTAAACTAAAAATAATTCCCCGAAGTTTTCTTAAAACTAAGAATAGTTTTTGCTTATCTAGTGAGAAGGGCTACCTTGAGCATTCTGCTCTTTTTAAGAACCATCTATATGAGATCAAATTGGCACCAGCATCTCAAAAGAGTGGATAGAAAACTCAGGGCAGGAAGTTTATGTTAATAGGGAGAAACAATTGAGAAGTGGAGAATGAGAATAGGTGTATAGCTTGAATGTAATCGTTGTCACAGATTCGTACATGGAGACATGGTTGAATTGTTGTATGTTCTGCAGCAACAAAAAAGGTGCCCAAGGACAAGTTCTAGAATTGTGCTTTTAGTAGGTTCCCTCATCATATGAGCTTGCCTCAGGAGAATTCTCAGCCCGTGCACCAACCCCTACTAAATGACCTCTGAGTTTTGTTTTTATCTCCTTTAACTATTTAGTTTTCTACAAGTTTTACAGCCATTTAACATCCTTTTTCAAAGATGGAGGAATAAAAATGAGTGTTGAAAATATGCTTTGGTAAACAATAGACTTGTTCCATAATAATATTGGAAATAACCCAATTATGGGGTTGGCTAAATAAGCTTTCTGTTTCCATCAGTGAATCATCAGTGCAATTTTTTTTTTTAATTAAAAATAATGAGGCATATTATTTAAAGGGCATAGGGTTTGTGTGTGAGAAGATAAAGAAGACATGGTGACCCTAGATGGCAGTGATGGCTGCAGGGCTGTGCATGTACGTCATGTGACGGAGCTGCACATTCAAACATAGCTGCAGTATATATATTCTACCACAGTTTCAAAATATGAAATAGAAACAGATTAAAGCTTTTTTTAAATGATGCAAAAGTATAGTGTATTTATTGACTTGGAAAGACGTTCACGAAGAAAAGGAAAAAGTTAGATTATAAATGTGTAGTTTTATTCTTATAGAAACACACATAGCTGTTGTTGTTGTTAAGTGCTGTTGAGTCGGTTCCGACCCATAAAGGCCCTGTATAGGGTTTCCAAGGAGCAGTTAGTGAGCTTGAACCATCAGCCTTGAGGTTCAAATCAACTTTGCAGTCCAGCACATTAACCCAGAGCACCACACCAGGACTCCATACAAAAGTGTAAGTGTGTGTGTGTGTGTGTGTGTGTATAAGTGTATATATTCTCAAGTGTATATGTGTCAGTATATTGATATAAAGGAGGTACGGAAAATGTTTAAAATGGCCATCCTTGAGTATTGAATGTACAAGTGAGCATTACTTTTCATTTTTCAGTTCTTTCACATTTTCCTAGAAGGAATATGCACTATCAGGTATAATTACAGCAACTATATACTTGTGTAAAATATAGAATCTTAGACACACTCGGACTGTAAGTTAACATTGTAAATAATGTGGTGTGGTTGCAGGAATAAAGGGTACAGGTAAATGGAATAGAACAGAATCCAGAAGCAGACCCATGTATATAGAGACATTTAATACATGATAAGTGTGACATTTGAAATCAGAGGAAAAAGGATAGAAAATTACTTCCCATTTTGAAAAGGAAATAAAAGTTGATCTCTACCTCAGACATCTCTGCCTCAATAAATGTCAGATAAATCAAAGACCTAAAAATAAATTATAGTCTTAGAAGGAAACCCAGAATATTTTATTCATCTTTGGATGGGAAAAGTCTTGCTATGCAAAACATAAAACCCCCAAACCATGCAGGATTTAACTTCATTAAAAGGCTCAATTAAAACCTTTTGCATAGTGAGAAGTGCCAGGAACAAAATTCAATGCTAGGAAGCCGACTAGGAGACAGTAGGTATTGCACCCATTAATTAGCTCCGGTCCGTGAGTACTAAGAAGTGGGCGGTGAGGCAATGCACAGAAGAGCCGCCCTCATCATCAACAAGATGCAGAGGAAAACATTTCACCTGCCATGACACCGACAAAGAATAAAAGGTGATACTGCCTACCTTCCCTTATCCCAGTCCTTGAAGCAGATGAGTTTTAGAAACCAGAAAAATATGGGAACAGTTTCTTTTTTAATAACATCAGACTGGAAAGGATTTCTAAAAATGAAAGAAACCCCAGAAGCCATAATAGATCAGGTGACTCAACAAATTATCAAAACATCATAACAGAGTTAATAAAAATGGGGAAGGGCTATTTACAACTTCCAACAGAAAAGTAGGCAAAGGACAAGAATAGCAGAATCCAACGTGCAAGTGCTATGTACAGCTCTAAAACAAAGGCGTCATGGTGTGGCGCTGTGGGTTCATGCATTGAACTGCAAGGTTGGGTTGAACCTCAAGGTTGGCGGTTTCAGCTCACCTGCCGTTCCTCAGACACCCTATTCCAGGGTCGCTATGTATGAGTCAGAACAGACTCGATGGCACTTAATGACAACTGAGGTTGCCCTGGTGTGGTGCTGTAGGATAAGCACTGTACTACTAACCACAAGGTCAGCAGTTCAAACCTACCAGCCACTCCTTGTTGTTAGGTGCCATCAAGTCAGTTCCGACACATAGCGGCCTTCTGCACAACAGAACCAAACACTGTCCCATCCCGCGCCGTCCTTACAATCATTGTGAAGCTGGAACCCATTGCTGATGCCACTGTGTCAGTCCATCTTGTTGGGGGTTCTTCCTTTTTTCACTGACTCTCCACTTTACCTTGCATGATGTCCTTCTCCAGGGACTTGTCCCTCCTGATATGTCCGAAAGTATGAGAGACAGGTCTCACCATTCTGGATTCTAAGGAGCATTCTGGCTCTACTTCTTTCAACACAAATTTGTTTGTTCTGGAAATCCACGGTATTTTTAATATTCTTCTCCAACACCATAACTCATATCAAATGCATCACTTCTTCTATGGTCTTCCTTATTCATTGTCCAACTTTTACATGCAAATGAGGCTGTTGTCGATAACATGACTTGGGTCAGGTGCACCTTAGTCCTCAAACTGACATCTTTGCTCTTGAATACTTTAAGAGGTCTTGTGCAGCAGATTGCCTAATACAATATATAGTTTTATTTCTTGACTGCTGCTTCCCTGAGTGTTAATAGTGGATCCGGGCGTAATGAAGTCTTCGACAACTTCAATCTTTTCACCATTTATCATGATGTTATTTATTGGTCCAGTGGTGAGGACTTTTGTTCTCTTTACATTGAGGTGCAACCCATACTGAAGGCTGTATTCTTTGACCTTCAGCAGTATTTCAAGTCCTCTTCACTTTCTGCATATGCAGATTGTTAATCGAGTCTTCCTCCAATCCTGATGCCATGTTCTGTGAGCAGAAGGAGGGGTTATAGTGTGTGTCACGGACTGTGGTTCAGAGCCGAGCATTGAGATGGAGGCAAAGGTTTACTGGGGGAGTAAATAAGGAGCCCTGGCAGTACAACAGTTACGTAACAGTCCAAACCCACCCAGTGGCTTTGAGGGAGGAAGACTCGGTGATCTGCTTCTAGATTGCAGCCTAGAAAATCCTGTGGGACACTTCTGTTTGATCACTTAGTCACCTGACAAGAATCCCTGTGAAGAAGAAGGGAGGACGCTTGAGTGGGGAACTGACCGATGGGCTGCAGACCTCCGTCTGTGCCAGCTTGCCAGGTTGCTCACTAAGGAGCCCTACGCTGAGCTGAAAAGGCTGGGTCCTTGTACTGTCACCTTGCTCAGTCTAGCCCCGGAAACACCCGCCCATGCATGGATGTTGGGCCTGCCAGCCACCCACGCACCTCCCATCTTAGCAGCAGGCTCTTTCTTGCAGATGGATCTGACTGACCATCTCTGTGTCCACCGCGGGGAAGGGCTTACCTGCCACAGCAGCCTTTTTCATTTAAGATAATTGTTAAAGAAGGAAAAGGAATGAGGGTGGCACCAAATCACTTTTACTTGTGTAACAAGCCCACAGGCGCAGGATAAGATGCCTGTAACAGAACAGCCGTAACGCTCCTCAGTCACCATCTCTCCATCTCTCTGCAGATCCTTCTGGCTGGTGGACGGGTCGGTTACGAGGCAAACAGGGCCTGTTCCCCAACAACTACGTGACCAAGATCTGAGGCACATGGAGACTCTATGCACTGGGTGAAGGAGGTCCGGGCACAGACAAGGAAGGGGACGTTTGGGGACTCCCTTTCTGATCCACAGCAAGCAATTGCTTCTCCAAGGCCTGGAGTTATTCCATACCTTCCCCACGGAGGACAAGTCTCCTAAAAGGTCCACTGTTCATAGGAACCCAGGAGGGCAAAACCACCACCCAGCAAGATTTATTTATTGTATTTAAACCTGGTGAGAGGATGAACGAGGTCCACTCAGACTTTGTTGGCTTCTAGCAAATCAGCAGCAGCAGCGTGTGCGCTCACCAGGCCCAGAGCATGGCTGTAGGTGGTTGCTGACAAGTGCCTTTAGTTGAAGAGCACATTTCTTTGGTCCTTTTCCTTACCTGACACACACATTCCTCTCTACTGCCTCTCTGCCTTCAGGGAGGACTCAGTCTGCAGGCTGGGCTCAGAGCGGACACTGCCCAAGAAGTGCCAACAGCAGGTGTGGCCTGTTGAACCCATAGGTGCAGAGGGCGTGGTCTAGAGCTTGCCAGGATCATCGGGGGCTGGGTTGTCAGCCTTGTTTTCTCTGGGTCTCTAATGGAATGTGGCTGGCCATGTTGGTTTCTTTGTTTAGTGCTGTAAGCCCTCTTCCCAGACGGATCTTTTTTTTTTCTCCCAAGCTGTACATTTATAAAAATAGATCATATACTGTATATACCAAAACATGGTAGAAACATGTATGAATGTACTAAGTAGTATTCCACTGTACTTATTCATAAGGTAGGTTTTATTACAAGCCTCGCACCAGGTACTCACAAATGTGCACTATTCCTTCCCAACTACAGCATCAGTGTTAATGCTTTCCCGCTCCGCTCCTGCAAACCCTTCTCACCATTGCCCTGTAGGTAATTTTCATCTGCACCCCTCTGGGTCCCTCCTGCCGAAATAAATAAAGGAATCCATGAACTGCCTTGGTCTTCCGTGACATTTATTGCACCATCCATCAAGAAGGGGATGGTTGTAGTACACTGAGATCTCTCCTTCCAATTACCACAGGCTACTGGGAAATGGGGGGCCTGATGTGGCAATGTGAGTGCATGTGCTGGACTGCAAAGTAGCTTTGAACTGCAAGGTTGGCAGTTGAAACTCACCAGCTGCTCCTTGGAAACCCTATACAGGGTTGCTATGGGTCAGAACCAACTCAACACTTAACAATAACGTTGGGAAATTAGGGCTTGACTAACATATACCTGAGTACCCCCAAACACACAGGCAAACAAAAAACCACGTGATACTGACTCATAGCGACCCTGTAGGATTTCCAGACTGTAAATCTTTACGGGAGCAGGCAGCCTTGTCTCTCCCGTGAAACAAACAACCTTGCAGCTACAGCTCACCACCACTGCGCCACCAGAGCTCCTTGAGTACCCCAAAGTCCCTAGGCGGGAAAAATGGTCACATTATATACGAAATATATATGTGGATTTGGAACAAAGGTAAGCCATTTAACTCTGGTGTTTTCTACTTCTAGAACACAAAGCAACCTTCATTTCAGTAACTGTAACGTGCTGAATGAACATCTTTCAGTAAATCCATGGAGGTCACTTTGTAAAGCATAGAGTATTTGTTTCTTCATTTCGTCACATCATGACTTTATTTTTCTCCATCTCTTCCTTCCAGGCAGTAGTGCTCACAAGAACAGGAGACAACATGGATGTACAGTGATAAAAATTTACAAACGCCACTGCTGGCTCTAGAGCCTGGACTACACATCACCCAGATTGTTTCTCTCTGTGGTGCCCTGTTAACTCTTCCCAACGGAGCTAAGCAGACCAAGTCTGTTCTTCCTCGAGTTTCCAGTGCCTCTACTGCACTGGTGGTGGGGTGAAGTCTGCTTCCCAGCACATCTTTGTTGGAGACCCCAGCTTTGTGTCCCTGGCACTCCTCACTTGGATGGCCAACAGTGGCAGTCTGAAGCAACGATTACAGTTCTAATCCGTCCTAGAGGGTCACTGTGAGTTAGCATCTCCTCAATGGCAATGGATTTTTTTTTTTTTAGTTTAATGTTACCTCCTTTATGCTTGATACACTAGTGTGTAGCAAGCATAGTGTGTATTGTCACATGCTTGATACACACTAGTTTTATTTAACACAAAATCCTATGAGGTAAACACTCCTATCCCCATTAAAAATATGGAAATCAAGGCATTCAGGAAACACAGCTGGTAAGTAGAAATCAAACCCAGGCAATTCAACTTTAGAGTTTGTGTTCTTCCATACCTGTAGTTGGAGTCCTGGTGTGGTGCTGAGGGTTAATCACTGGATTGCAAGACTGCTTTAACCGCAAGGTCGGTGATTCAAGCTCACCAGCCGTTTCTCAGAAACCCTATACAAGGTCACTATGAATCAGAATTGACTAGACGGCACTTAACAAAAACAACGGCATCCTTGTAGTTAGAATGCTGGTGTGGTGCTGTTAGATAAGCACTCGACCATAACGTCTGTTTGAACAGCAAGGTTGGCAGTTCAAACTCACCAGTCACTCCTCAGAAACCCTATGCAGGGTCGATGTGAATCGGAATGAACTCAGTGGCAGTTAACAACATACTTGAGGCTACATCATCTCACTTATAATTTCAGTGTGTTTATACTATTTCTTTTTTTGCAGCTTATTTTGTATTTTTAAGATTTTTATTTTGGGTGTCTGCTCTGACACTTAAGAGAAATATCTTAAGTCTTTTTTATGACATACTAGAATAATTTCCTGAGTCAAACTAGTTAATATTTTAACTAAAGGAGCCCCGATGGCACTGGGGTAGGCGTTGTGCTGCTAACCTTGAGGGAGGGGATTCAAACCCATCAGTCACTCCTTAGGAGAAAGCTAAGGCTGTCTGCTCCTGTAAAGATTTACAATCTCAGACACCCTATACAGAGCTAGCAGTGGTCTGGTTCTTGGGTTTGGAGGAAGAATTTCCTGAGTCAGACTTAATATTTAAGGGGGAAAAGGTAATTAAGGAACCTATAAAATGCCTTTGAAATATGTTCACAAAATCCATCTTTTCTTGATCAGAAGTTGAGCTCAAAGATTCCTGGGAAACGGCTTTTCAGAGAGGAAATCTCTCATTCAGAGCCTCACTTCGCTACCATTCACATTTGTAACCTAAGTTGGTCTAAGGCCACTAGGGGAACAAGTTTCACTAACTACTAATTCAACAAGTGATATCTATAAAATTACATAAGCAATTAGTAGGGTTTCGCCTAGTTTCTCTAAATGCTCAAAACCTGCAGGCAAAGATGTACTAGTCAACTCTGTTCTGCCTAGAAAAAGGATGTCAGATGCAAACCTTCACCAGAACCAGCTTCTCCCCAGGTGTCGTCACCCTCAAGGTATTCCTAAACTGCAGAACCAGGTGCCTGTTGAGTTCACTGTCAAGCAAAGGAGAAGGCAATTTTTATCAAGCTCTAGGAGAAATGAGGAGTTAACTGGGTCTACCTCAAAGTTTTTCAGAGACTTATTAATCTCCCAAGGGTCTGCTATGCTTCCCAACTTATTTGATCAACTCTTCTCTCGGGACAATGAAGGTTTTGCTGAACTGAAAGTTTGGGAACTTTATGCTACAAGAGACTCACTTTTATTTCTGATTTTTAATAAAGTTACTGGCTGGAGACTCAGAAGGCATTTATTTCCCCTTAGATGTTACATGGGATTGCCACCAGGCACAAAAAGGCCCCCATAGTGTGGCTGAAGGAGCCCTGGTGGTGGTTAATCAAGCAGTAGACTGCTAACAGAATCTTCTAGTCACTCTGGGGAAGAAAAAAGTGGCAGTCAGCTTCCATAAAGATTGTTGTTAAGAGCCATCGAGTCAGTTCCAACTCACAGTGACCCTGTGTAGGGTTTCCTTCCAAGGAGCAGCTAGTGAGTCTCAACCACCAACCTTGCAGTTCAAATCAACCTTGCAGTCTGGTGCATTACCCTACAGCGTCACCCGGGGAGATTCTACTCTGTCCTCTTGAGTTGGAATCACTGAGAGGGGTCACTGAGTTGGAATCAAGTCGACAGCATTACAGGAAAAGTTCCAAGTTTGAACTAGTTCTGTTGCCGTCGCCCCTCAGGACTGCCCTTCTTGGTCTCAGCTGGGCCTGAGAGAGGCCCATCACGATGGCTACTTCTGGCACCAGCGCCCCAGTGGGCTGGTGAACCTATGTAAGAATTAGGGAGCAGTCATCAGGAAGATCAAGAGAAATGGTCATCTTCCATTTATAATTTCATAATGCATCAATCTTCTTACATTCAAGAAGCCTACAAATAAAGCAGTGTTCACTGAAATCAAGTTCTAGTTTTTCCATTCGAGAAAATGGTGCGAAGATCTTTCCTAAGGTCACAAAGGCAGTCATTTACATAATACCTTAAAATAAAGTTAGTCATAGCAAACTTACACCGATTCCTTCATAGAAAATGCACACATAAAAATGCATGGGATACTTAAAGAAAAATCAATAGCTTTATTTTTCCTCAATATACATTTAGAACACATCAGAAAAGACTTCATGAAACAGACCGGAGGACTATGTACAAAGTCAAGAGTCCCAAAGTCAAGGCCACCACAGTCTAGGGTCTTCCCATCAGCGGTGAGGCAAGGTCTTTGATGGCTTTGGCGTTCAGCTGTGGAATGGTGCTAATCTTCAGCAGTCTGCTGCTGGCATACTTATTCTTGATGGCCTGCAGGAGTGAGTCATTTGTGATTAAGCTCACATCAGGACGCCTACCTTCTACCTACCTCATACCTAACCTAACTGACAAGTGCAGGACCCCAAATTCGTCTTAACCTGTTGTTCCTTTTACGTCCATTTCTGTCCATGTCTTTTAGGACTACGACTCCTCTGGCAGCAAAAGTGATGGTGGAACAAATGAGTTCAAGGTTCCCAAGTTCTCTCATGAGCTACCAGAGAGAAGAGAGGTGTACCACCGGGACACAACAGTAACAATGGACCCCAGAGAAGCCCCTCAGCACTGAGAACACATCTTGCTTCACAGGGTGCTAAATCAGGCTAAAGTAACATGAAAGAAAGCAGGTCATGTGGTGAGGACACAAGACTTCCGTGGTACAAATGCCATGCTCTTTGTCACCAGGCCCCTTTGATGCCACAGGGGCACAGGGCAGGACCAAGCCTCCTCTGACTCCTTCCCTCTCAGGTGGGCCACAGAGACCACCACTAAGCCCAAGAGGCTTCTCCCTCTTTTCTTCACCATGGTCACTAATTGAGTGCCTTTCTGCCATCGTGTCTGGAAAGGCCCTGAATAATAGAATCTGAATCCTCAAGACTCCAGACAGCCATTTGAGCTGCCCTGGCTCTTCCTGATCACATGCCAACCAGCCTTCCCTGCTTACTGAGCGGTTATCCTGGATGCTGGATTAAGAATAAAGCACAGACAGTGAATGGCTGACTGCAAACCAGGCTGAAACAGCGTTCCACCATACTTTGTTTCAAAGAAAGATAAAGTCTGTTTTGAAAAGAATTTGCGCTCACCAATATGCTGCACCCCCTGCTGTTCTAGACAAATATAAACAACTTGTACTGAAATAGACTCTCACAGAAGCCATTATATATTTACATGAAAACATAAACACAGCCCTAGTCCAATGCATGCCACAGCTGAGAAGAAATAGTACTTACGATGAATTTCGTTAGGTTTTCGTTGACTTTCACTACGTTTTTGGCCATGTGCTGCATGACTTCCAGTACTTCGCTCTCTGTGTATCCAGTGTAATATTCCTGCTTTAAGCTCTGGAACACAAGGCAACGAGAAGGAACCTGTGACTGAGACCTCGGGCATGAGAAAGCCTCTGCTGCTTTGCAAGAGCGAGTGTTGCCCATGCAGACAACTCTTCGGCAGACGCTGTGAAAGACTAGCCTTCTTCCCTCCTGGAACTTCAGTTATAGCCCCCACCAGTACTGTGGACAGCGCTAAAATAGGGCTCCAATAAGACATGGGAGGCTCCAGGCTAAGAAGTCAAAGCTTGCACAGGTATAAGCTATTGTTGGGCACCATCGCGTTGGTTTTCACTTAGAGCGACCAACCCCAGGTCCTGAGTAGCATTGCCCCACAAGGATTTCTTGGCTGTAATCTTTTGTTTAGCAGCTAAGGACCACCGGGGTTCCTTGTACAGGTATATAAATATAGGGTACTTAGAGTAACAAATCTTTCCTACCTACCTTGGAACAAAACAAACAAAAAATACCCCCCTGCCCAGTATGGGCAGAGGCCTGGGATGAGCACATCTCACACTTCCCACTCAGCATGTGCCCGAGAGCGGCTGTGAATAGGCTCCAGTCCACCCCCCCCACCCCCGGTTTCCATACTGCTGCTCGGGGGGGGGAAAACCCCTCAGAATGGACTGAGTCACATGCAGCACAATCGACCACATCCAGAGCTCCAACCACCCATGACTCTCTGCTGGGGCTCTGTGAGACCAGGGAGAACCAGAGAAGACACTACCTTCCAGTCCAGCTGGGGAGCTAGCCTCCAAGAGGAAAACGCCAGCAAAACAACAACTGTTGATGGATAAGATGTTGAACACTTACCACGTACGAAGATCTATCACCTGACTTTACTAAAAGTCATTCCTTTCATATGTACAATATGAACCTGGTGAAACTGAATGGGAAAATAAACCTCAGCTGAACTTCAATCCTTACGTAGTTTGAAGGGAAAAAAAAAAAAAAGACCTAAGCAGGAGTGAATACTGAAAACAGCATTTTGAAATCAATTCCAGAAAACCAGCAGGCCTATTGCTAATGGGTTTATAGCCTAGAGAAGAGGGTTTCAGAGCAGTCTGGGAAATGAGTTAACATATCAGGATTGTGTGTCGTGTACCAGTGGCTCTTTTTGCCTCAATTATTTTTTTAATTCAAATTCAGAAAAATGGAAGGATAAGATAATGAACATATAATGAATATCTGTATATCTGCCATGAAGCTTCCTCAGTTAACATTTTGTCATTGTTTCGTTGAGATCAAGTGTATATAAGGTGATGTTCATCATTTCCACCATTCTCATGTGTACAATTCAGTGGTAACAATTCACCATGTTGTATAGCATCACCACAATCTGCTCCCTTAGCAGAAACTACCACACTCTCACACCTGAAAACAACTAATGAACTCTGGTCTATGCATTCTAGATATTTCACATAAATGAGATCATACAGTATGTGTTCTCAACACATTTTCAAGGTTCATCCATGTCAGCAGGTATCCGAATTTCATTTCTGTTTATGACTGAGTAGGATTCTATTGGCTGTGTAGACCACATTTTGTTTATCCCTTAGTCTGTTGCTGGTGGGCACTTGGGTTGTCCCCACCTTTTCAAATACTGTGAATAATGTTGCAATGAAAGTTGGTCAATTGGCATAACAAAGTCCACAAAGACATTCTACTTTGGTGAGTAGAGACTGGGATCTTAAAAGGTCATGAGCTACCTAAGGTATGCACCTTAGATATGGTCTCTCCATGTGCAGATGAAAGAAGATTGATGAAAGCTGAAAATGCTTGGAATCAACTAGTCCAGGGACCGAAGGGAACATCAGTCACCACGACTCTGAAAACAGATGAAGTAGATGGTGATTGGCTGCCACTACCAAGTGCTCTGAAAGGAAGCATATGAAAAAGTCCCAGATACAGTGGGTGAAAATGCTGACCAGAACTCAAAATTACAAAAGACCGGGCCTACTGGTCAGAAAGCAACTAAAGGACCTCAAGACTTGGCCACTCTTCAGGTCTGGAATTGAATTCAGCCTTCTGGTTCAATTTTCAGCCAAGTAGTAGATAGACACATAGCAGGGACAACTCTAGTAGAGTATGCTCACCATGGAATGGTCAACCACTCAAGACCAAAAGGGCAAGAGGTTTACCTAAGATTGGGAAAGACGGTAGACTGGAAATAAGAATCACAGGAAGGAACTAGGATAAATGATGGTACCTGGAAAGGATTGTAATCACTGAGACGAAGCAAAGTGTACACTGCTGTGGCATACAGTAACTCTGTTTAATTTCATGAGGAACTGTCTAATTGTTGTACAGTTTTTAACACTTCACTGTTTTCTTTCTCTGTCTACATATTAAGAAGCCCTGGGGTGCTGTAGGGTGGGTAAGCACTGAACTGCTAACCACAAGGTTGGCCTTTCACACCCATCGGTTGTTCCATAGGAAAAAGACGGGGCTTTCTGCTCCCCTAAAGATTTACAGCCTCCGAAACCTCACATAGGGTTGCTATGAGTCAGAATCCACTCAATGGCAGAGGGTTTAGTTTTTGGTTTGGGGCCAACATATTATGTACATATACTTTTGCTGAACCATTTAAAAATTACATGTAACTCCTCAATATTTCAGCATGCTTTTTCCTGCCTATTCCATAACACCATCATAACATAAGAAAAATTTCAAGTATTCCATATCATCTAGTTATATATGGTCAGTATTCAAATACCCCAGTTATCCCAAAAATACACTCAAGGTCCATGCAATGTTTTGGGTTATATCTTCAGTCTCTCTTCATTTAAAACAACCTTCACTTTTTTAACTTCTGACAGACTTTTTGGAAGCATCCAGGATAGTTACTTTTAGAATGTCCCATATTTTGGATTTGTTTGTTTTCTCAAAGCCTTTTTGGCTAAGATTACACCTACACACACACATGGACTGGGCAGGGTCTAGGAGGCAACTCCCCAACTACATACTGCAGTTTTTTTTACCAACAGTGAGCCCTCCCATACTACCCACCACCCAGAAGTCACTTGGAGATGCAGGAGAGACTGTGTAGGGCATTTGTTCACAGGAAGAACACCACAAGTCGTGTGTCCCTTGTCACAATGAACCCAGACTCTTCTTGGGTGTGTTATAAACAGAGAAGCCACTCCTTAGGCCCCCTGCTCTGAGCACACCCCCGTGTCCATCATTTTAACATGACTACTCCACAGATGAGAACATGCACATCTTACTTCATCAGAAGGTACATCAAGTCCTGTAATCCCACCATTGGTGACACCAACCTTGATCATGTGGTTAAGGAGGTAGCTGCCAGACATTAGTATTTGTAGGGTGATATTTTGAAACCTTTTGAAATCTTGTTCCCCAAAATTATTTCACCTAATGATATTCAGGTATCCATTAGGAAGATTTGCTTGAATCAATTATTACAACAGAGGTTTTAAAAAAAAGCTGAGTTTCTAATCAACATCACAGGCATTCTACTTAAAAAAGCGAAGTCCCCTCAGTGATTCATTAAGGACTTTTCTTTTTCTTAATGCATTATAAATCTGCTGTTGTCATTCTTCTTTTTATGCTCATAGTAAACCAGATCTGGCCAGTAAGGAGCCCCTTCAGGCCATTTCCTATGTCATTTCGCTATGACCCCACTGACTCACAGCAACCCTGTATACAGTTTCCAAGGAGTGGCTGGTAGGTTTGAACTGCCAACCTTGTGGTTAACAGTCCAGTGCTGATCCTAGATATCCCCACACCAGGACTCCAGGACCCCATTACCATTAGTCTTGGAAAATTTCTCACTTTCAGGCACAGCTCGTTTTAGGCTCACTTTGGCCATGGCCATGGCCCTGCGATCAGTAATGTCTTTAAGGAGTCCTAAGCGTAGTGGTTATGAATTGGGCTGCGAACCGCAAGGTCAGCAGTTCAAAACTACCAGCTGCTCCGCGGGAGAAAGATGAGGCTTTCTGCTCCCATAAAGATTTACAGCCTCGGAAACCCCGTTCAGGGTCACTATGGGTCGGAACCGACTCGACGGCACATAACAACAACAGTTCCTAGTGGGTAACAGTGTTTCATAGCTAAGATCTAGACCTTAGGTAAATTCCTTATTATTATTTGTTATTGTTTCTAGGCATGTCCATTATGAGTTTACTAATAGCTACCGATCATACATAAGATTATCAAAGTTTTCCCTTTGTTTTTAATTTTTTAAACAATTTTTCCTCTTTTTAGTGTAAATTTCAGTCTTCAATAAATGGAATGCACTTATTTACTTTATCCTACAAAAGACATAAAATAGCTTCAGAATTGCAATGCCAAATTACTCCCTTTTTTAAAAAAAAATTCTTTTTAATAATATTTTATTTTTGGCGTAAACATATGCAACAAAACCCATTCCCATTCAACCATATTCCTCTTAACAATAAGCTAAGTAAATATCAAGTCTCCTTACCATTTCTATTCCTCTGTAATGTCTAACTTTCTATCCCACTAGTACACACACAGTCTGAATGCTATCTTCAAAAACTATTTGAAAATAAGCACTCAAATACTTGTACAAAAGGTCAATGTACAAAGGTCGCACATTGTATGATTCCATTTACAAAACTATTCAGCACAGAGACAGAAGGCAGAATGGTGGTTTCCCGGAGAAGGGGGAGGGTGGAATGGAGAGCAACTGCTTAACAGGTTTCATCTTGACAAAAACGTTCTGAAGGGAACTAGAAGTGGAGGTTACATAGCATTGTGTATGAATATAATGAATGCCATCCACTGAAATATTAACTCCTTCCTGGTGACTTCTAGCAAGATGGCGGACTAGACAGACACCCTACAGAGACCCTCTGCAACAAAGATAAGGAAACAGAGTGGAACCGACACAGAGGACAATCTTGGAACCCTGAGCTTCAGAGAAAGGTTAGAAAAGTGGACTAAATATCTACTGGGAGGAGAAGCTGGAAGAAGCTGAAAGGAGACTTGGCCAGACTTGGCACAGCCATCTTAAACTTTTCAAACAGCTT